TATTAGTCAGCACCGGTTCTTGGCGGGCTAATCGGCCTAATCGGTCAACAATTGTCAACGAATTAAAAAAAAAGTCCATGGCCGGTCAAAATTAGAAAAAAGCTCTAAAATCAAATCGTAGCCGGTCAAAATTAGAAAAAAGCGCCAAAATCAAATCGTAGCCCTAATATTTCATTCATTCGCTTATTGTTTCTCTGTACACAGCTTTGACGAGGGCTCAATTTTATCGTTGCTTCATTGGCGACTCATTCCGACGCTGGCATCGCCGACGACACCAACTAACGTCGAGGACAGCGACGCAACTCAGGTACGTACCCTATTACACTGTGCGTTTTGCTCTGTGATGCTTACGACGACGCAATTCATAAGCCAAAGAAATTTTCTTTACGATGTATTATCTACATAGTCTGTATGTTTTACACCACCTCGTTAACGTGTCCAAATATCTGCTTTAATTTAATGAAAAAAGTTTTCTGGATCAACTACTTCCTGCAATCATTGGTTACTACTGCCTTCCTGGTTAGGCCCACCATGAAAAAAAAATAAAGTTTATAATGTCAAAGAAGTAGCTTACTTAGTATTGAAAATAATAAAGTTTATATGTTACAATTAGCTTCAAAAAAAAAAAAAAAAAAAAACTAACTCCATGAAGCATTTAACTAATTTTTGTATATGGTATATATGTGACTGTTTTAGATTACTGTTCCTTCGAGGATATGAAAAGAAGAATTATGTATAACTTGTTTTCAAAAAAATAATGAAATGCAAGTAGTGGTTTGTGCATTTATAATATTATAGCCAAAATTCTTTCTTTACGTATCAAGAAAGTAATGGGGCATCGTATGAATGAAGTGCAATCAGCATATGTGGAGGGCAGAAGTATACTGGATGGACCATTAGTTGTTAATGAGTTGTGCTCTTGGGCAAAAACAAGAAAAGAGAAAATTCTACTCTTCAAGGTGGACTTTGACAAGGCATTTGATTCCATTAATTGGGAATTTTTGGACAGCAATCTATCGCAAATGGGCTTTGGTGAAAATGGCGTTTATGGATTATGGGTTGTCTACAATCGACTCATGCATCAATTCTAATCAACGGGAATCCAACTGATGAATTCAAGACCTCGAAAGGTGTCCGACAGGGGGATCCCCTCTCCCCTTTCCTCTTTATCGTTGCCATGGAAGGACTTAGTGTGGCAATGGAGGCCGCATGTGAAGCGGGGGTCTTTCAAGGCCTGCAATTACCATATGGAGGACCTTTAATTTCACATCTTCTATATGCTGATGACGCTTTGTTTGTGGGGGAATGGTCAAAAAATAACATCAAAAACTTATCATGAATCCTCCGTTGCTTTCAAGCGGCTTCGGGACTTAAAGTCAATTTTAACAAATCCAAAGTCTTTGGAGTTGGTTCAGATATACAAGAAGTTACCCGTTGGTCCCGCCTCCTTGGGTGCGAACCCGCGATGTTACCTTTCACATATCTTGGTGTCCCCGTGGGAGCCAACATGAAGCTCACAAAACATTGGACTCCCATAATTGAAAGATTCAAGAAAAAAACTCTCAGCTTGGAAATCAAAGACATTGTCGTTTGGTGGACGACTGACACTAGTCAAATCAGTACTAGGTCACTTACCGAACTACTATATGTCTCTATTTGCTGCACCTAATGGCGTTTTGGATAAATTGGAAAAAATCAGAAGGAGATTTCTCTCAGGCGGGTCAGAGGACAAAAAGACGATACATTGGATATCATGGGAGAAGGTTATTGCGGACAAAGATAAGGGGGTACTAGGAGTTGGATCCTTAAAATCCATAAACATCTCACTCCTGGTGAAATGGCTGTGGCGCCTAAGGTCGGAATCATCCACATTATGGGCAAAAGTCATTACAGGGGTTCACAAACTGCATAATAAAGAGGATGATTATTACTCTATAAAGTCAATGACCGGGGTATGGAACAATATAGCAGGAATCAAACGTGTACTAGAAAAAAGGGGCATTCCACACGACAATATTATCAAAAAGCATCAGGGAGGAAACGACATTTCATGGAGGTGCGAAATTACCGGGGATGGAAAATACAAGGTTAGTGCTCTTCGCCACATCCTGGAAGATAATGAACATGTAGTTATTGACAGCTTCATTTGGATCAAAGAGATACCTCTAAAGGTCTCGTGTTTTATCTGGAGGGCGAAACGGGGTCGTATATCCACAACGACAGCACTATCGAGTAGGGGCATAAACTTGCCAACCACCACCTGCTGTCAATGTAACTGAATGGAAGAAACAACTGATCACATCCTAGTGCAATGTGTTTTTGCTAAAATTGTCACATAATGGATTTTCAATTGGTGTAATGTTCCATTAATAAGCTTCCAAACGGTGCACGACGTTCTCGATTATGCTTCCAATTGGGGAACCTGTCCCAAGAAGAAGAAAAAGCTGCTGAGCATTTGTTACGCGACCTTATGGAGTATCTGGAAAGTAAGAAACGAACGAATATTTGCTAATAAATGGTTATGTGCTATGAAAGTAGCGGACATTGTCAAATCAACGACATTTCTTTGGGTTAAACATAGAGGTGGTAAAAGAGGCCTAAACTGGACGGATTGGAATATCCTCCCGTTCAAATCATTGTAACTTTCATTTAGTTTTTGTGCTCTTGTTTTGTACTTTTACTCCTAGCTCCTTGCTAGGTGTGCTTCGCTTTTTTCTTTATATATATATTTCTCGTTTGCCGGTTCAAAAAAAAATGACAAGTAACATAATATATTATAAGGTACGATTTATTAAGTCATGTACATTATTCAAGACTAGAAAGACTTTCGATTTTAGCAAAATGTTAAAGTTTATAACTCATAAAAGGATTTGTAAGTTTTATAAAAACTTGGTCTTGTTTTTCTTCCTTGAAAGTCGAGAGCTAGATAGGGAGGAGAGGTGATGATGTTTTGACTTGTTTAATCAAAAGAAAACAAATCTTAAAATCAAGCATGGACAACATGATTAAGCGTTGGTGATGCTAACATGCTAGGTCTTAATTGTGAAGAATTTTTGGGTAAATAATGCATGTAAAGAGGCTTACATGAGGCTTCTATTCTATACTATTGAAACCGTAAGTAGCATGCTCTCACACTTCATCTTCTTTCTAGTAAAAAGGGGTTAGAATACTTGCTCGTATTTTTCTCTCTTTAAGTCATATTTGGATATGAACTTAAAGTTTAAGAGTTTTGACTATGATCTTCATCAAGTTGAGTTTTTATTAGTGTTTCGTCTACGGAAGAGTTATACTTCACATTCTACATCAATATTCAAGCCCTCCCTTGGGGATTCAAAGGACTACAAAAGTTGTCATCTTCTTATTCATTCTTTGGTTGATGTTTTTCTTCCAAACTTTGCAAGAAGATTTTGGGTGAGTTTAAACTAGTTTATGTTATTCTAAAATTATAAAGTCTTCCGTTGCTAGATTTTGAGTTTTTGAAACTAATTTTAGAATAAAAAACCCAACAATATATTTGTCAATGACTTCGGAAATCCTGCGACTCATCGGAAAGGAGGAGAATGTAGAGTACTGATTTTGTTGTGACTATTTCAAAGATTATATTATTCCGAAGTTGTCTCGTACCGAATGAGTGCTGATGAAGGTAGGGTGAATGTTTTGATACCAAAGTAGTTACAAAAGCATATTATGCTCCTTTGGTACTTAGATTATCACGTGGACTATCATTCTCCAAACAAATATTATATGTTAGTGTGAGAAGTTAATTTGTACTTTCACATGTGTGTATCCATGTTTTAACATCTGATTGGTATAGGATACATCATCTTTTGTGTGAGTATATATATATATATATATATATATATATATTATATATATATATATATATATATATATATATAAAAGTGTTGCAGAAATCAGCCTTAGAGGCCGACTAATCTCTTGGCGGCCTCGAGCCAATTGCGATTACAGCTTGGTGGTCACATTAATCGCTTTGGGTCAATATTAGTCAGCACCGGTTCTTGGCGGGCTAATCGGCCTAATCGGTCAACAATTGTCAACGAATTAAAAAAAAAGTCCATGGCCGGTCAAAATTAGAAAAAAGCTCTAAAATCAAATCGTAGCCGGTCAAAATTAGAAAAAAGCTCCAAAATCAAATCGTAGCCCTAATATTTCATTCATTCGCTTATTGTTTCTCTGTACACAGCTTTGACGAGGGCTCAATTTTATCGTTGCTTCATTGGCGACTCATTCCGACGCTGGCATCGCCGACGACACCAACTAACGTCGAGGACAGCGACGCAACTCAGGTACGTACCCTATTACACTGTGCGTTTTGCTCTGTGATGCTTACGACGACGCAACTCATAAGCCAAAGAAATTTTCTTTACGATGTATTATCTACATAGTCTGTATGTTTTACACCACCTCGTTAACGTGTCCAAATATCTGCTTTAATTTAATGAAAAAAGTTTTCTGGATCAACTACTTCCTGCAATCATTGGTTACTACTGCCTTCCTGGTTAGGCCCACCATGAAAAAAAATAAAGTTTATAATGTCAAAGAAGTAGCTTACTTAGTATTGAAAATAATAAAGTTTATATGTTACAATTAGCTTCAAAAAAAAAAAAAAAAAAAACTAACTCCATGAAGCATTTAACTAATTTTTGTATATGGTATATATGTGACTGTTTTAGATTACTGTCCCTTCGAGGATATGAAAAGAAGAATTATGTATAACTTGTTTTCAAAAAAATAATGAAATGCAAGTAGTGGTTTGTGCAGTAAGATATAACGTCCCATTTTTATATATCTTAAAAATAAAGATAGGAATTCAATTAACAAATGTTTCACATTTACTTCAATTATATTTTGAACTGTGAACATGATTGTTCATGATGATTGGTATTTTGAACAGGAAGCATATTCTACTTCACCATCACTGTTTAAAAATTAAAAATTGAAATCTGATGTTATTTTTCTATATATAACAGTTGTGGATTAACCAATGACATCTAAAAATTCTACTTCACCATCGGTGGAATCTACCCCCATCGCTGCTCATAAACGGAATTCGGATGATATTGGTTAGGAATATGGATTTTGCCCGGATAAAAATAAGTTGGATAAATTAAAATGTAACTTGTGTGGAAAAGTCGTTAGCGGGGGGATTTCTAAATTTAAACAACATATTGCTCATGTGACGGGAAATGTTTCTTCATGTACAGACTCTACAAAAGTCGATCAATTGAGAATTCGAAATTATCTTAACAAAGGGAAGTTAAAAAAGATAGCTAAACGCACACATGATGAGTCCATAAGATTAGAGGTGATGCAAGAATTACATGACAGTGTTGATGTGGATGAAATAGAAGATTTTTTTGGGGTCTAAAGCACCAAATGTTATAGGCCCCATGGATGACTTTGCAAACAAAATAAACCCCGAAGAAGATTTGAAGAAGGGAAAGGGAAAAATTTTTGATCTTAACAATATTGTTCGAAAAGATAGAATATTAGCGTATCATAAATTCATTAGTAGGTGGGCATATAAAACTTCGATTCGGTTTCATGCATTGGAAGATGATAGCTTCAAAATGATATTGGAGGTTGTTGGCCAATTTGGAACTGGGCTTCCACCTCCTACTAGATATTCTTTGAGCGACCCACTTCTAAAGCTTGAGGTTGAAAGAACGAAGATTTTGTTGAAAAGAAATGAAGAAGAATGGAAAGAGATTGGATGCTCGATCATGACAGATTCTTGGTCCGATAGGAAGAGAAAGAGCATTATGAAATTATGTGTAAATTTAAAAATGGGTACCGTGTTTTTATCATCCAAAGAAAGTTCAAGTGAAGCACATACAAGCCAACACATATATGATTATGTGGAATATTGCATTCAACAAGTTGGTCCCGAGCATGTTGTTCAAGTTGTGACCGATAATGCCACGAATAACATGAGAGCGGCGAAGTTACTAAAAGAGAAACGACCAACTATTTTTTGGTAATCATGTGCAACACACACCATTAACCTTATGCTCAAAGGTATTTATATTTTGTTTATTATATTGTTTAGTATTTTAGTTTTAACATGTTTTATTTTATACTATAATTCATTAATTTGTTATTTAATCATGTTTATTTCTTGAAGGTATTGGTAGACTTCCAAGGTTTAAGAAAGTCCTAGATCAAGCAAAGAAACTAACCATTTTCATTTATGCTCACCACAAAACCTTGGCTATGATGAGAAACTACACCAAGAAAAGGGAAATTATTCGACCGGGAGTCGTGAGATTTGCTTCCGCCTTTCTAACATTACAAAGCTTATCTGAAAAGAAGGAGCAACTAAAACATATGTTCTCTAGCACCGAATGGGAGGAATGCAAATTTTTCGGTACGCCTAAAGGGAGAGCCTCATATGGAATGGTGACAAGTCTCCAATTTTGGGCTCGTGTGACACAATCTTAAAAAATGTTTTCCCCTTTGGTGAAAGTCCTTCAAATGGTTGATGCAGATTAGAAGTCCTCAATGGATTTTGTTTACGGGAAGATTAAATTAGGAAAAGAAGAAATTATGAAAGCTTTGGGTAATCAAGAGAAAGCTTACAAGCCTATTATAGATATCATAACCAACAAGATGAAAGGTAAGCTAGATTCAAAATTACATCTGGCTGCTTATCTTTTGAATCCTTATTATCATTATAAGGATTCACAACTCCACCATGATCACGACATAATGGATGCGGTTCTTGAATTTTTTGATACATTACTTTTTGAAGATTTGGAGATGCAAAGACAAGTCGTGACTATTGAATTGCCAAAGTATAAGGAAAAAGTTGATAGATTTGGAGTGGAGCTTGCATATAAATCTTGTATGTCGAACGATGCCGACTTTGATCCAGGTAATTTGTTTTTACTTTTATTTATTTGTTTTATAAAACAATAAATTTTATATCTATTAATTTACTAATGCTTTTTTGTTTCAAAATATAGCAAGATGGTGGGGACTTTTTGGTGGCTCAAGTCCTCATTTGACAAAGATTGCAATGAGCATTCTTTCTTTAACTAGTAGTTCATTGGGTTGTGAAAGGAAAGTGAGCACGTTTGAAGTGGTTAGTTATAAACTTTAAATATCAATAATGTTTTTAACCCTTTTTTTCCTGTACTTGTACATACAAAGAAACGAAATAGATTGGAGACAAGTAGATTGAACAATCTTGTTTATGTTCAATTTAATGGAAAAAAACAAAAAGAGAAAAGATAGGACTTTAGAAGTGCTTTTAGCAAATGATACTCACTCGGGTCAAGAATGGATTGTTGATTGTAATGATTGTGATGTAGATGAAGTTGACCCAAAATCAATTATGGAATCGGCTAATGAAGCTCTCGGGACTAATGATAATCAAGCACCCCGTCAAAATTCAACAACTAGAGAACTTTTTGATGAAGATTTCGAGTCCGAGAATGAGAAGCAAGTGTTTGAAGAAGGTGAATATGAATTAGATGGAGTTCAAATATTGGAAGAAGTCAGAGGAGATTAGAAGAAGATGAACATTTAAATTTATGAAAATATGTGTTTTTTTGGATTATTAAACTTTTTATGAACTTGTACTATGATAGTTTATTACTTAAATGCTTAAATAGTAGATTATGATTTTTTTTATGGATATTTACATTATATATATATATATATATATAGATATATATATATATATATATATATATATATATATATATAGAGCTAGCTTCAAGTATTCTAATTAATTATTGTGTGGATGTAGGAATCAATGTGAGCCAATCATTTCAAAACCTAAATAAGGTAAAAAATTTATGTTATCTATTAATTAACTTTAGTAATTAAATAAATAATTTAATTAATCCCTTTAATTTAGGCAAGATAGTTTAAGAATTAATTAAATAAGGTAAATTTTTAATGTTATCTATTAATTGATTTTAGTAATCAAATCTATTTGTTCAATAATTGCATATTTATGGATGTTATTTAGATTATTATTCTGTAAGAATATGTATGAATCTATATTTGCATTACAATGTTTGAATATATAATGATCATGTTATATTTCAACTGATGGTTTAAGAATGTTGTTTTTCTACAACAAGTTATTTCAATCAAAATATGTACTCTATCATAATATATTCTGACATTTTCATAGAATTTCGTTCTAATATAATTGCATTCTAAAAGAATAAAATCGAGTAAAATTAAAAATTATGTTAGAATTAAACATGAATTAATTAAAATAAAATCAGAATTCAAAATTAAAAGAATCAATATCCCTTAAAATCCGAAATTTTCATTAAATAAACATGTGTTTCATAATTTGAACATGTGTCTCCTAATTTAAAGATAGGTAAATCATTACTTAAAATAACTAAAACCATTGGTCTACATTCATCTCTACATCCACACAATAATTAATTAGAATACAATAACTTAAGCCTATATATATATATATATATATATATATATATATATATATATATATATATATATATATATATATATATATATAAGACTCTCCGATTAATCGCCGCCAACACCAATTAATCGTTTGGCACCAGACACCAGTCGACTGTCAAGCGTCTGCCTTGGAAGAAGTTTCGAAATTTAGATGGTTCTAAGGAGTTAGAACACGAAATGAACCATGTAAGGAAGTGTTCTTTAGCATATAAAGGAAAAAAACTAACTTGTGTATGTTAACAACTTACTAAGATGATAATACTTGATGCAAAACTCTTGAAGTCCCACACCAAGGTCACGAAATTTGCAAGAGGTAGTGAGTGAATTTCCTTGAAGTTTTGAGAGGAAATTAGGAGTGAAATGAGATTGGAGAAATTTTTTTGTGTGAGGTGAAATGGCCATAGGCCGAGAATTTCTAAGGAGAGAGGGGAGAGAAGATCAAGTGGTTAATACATGGCGGATTAGTTTCAAATTTCCTAGATATTTGGTGGTTATTGCATGGATTACCACCATGCAATAAGGAGGTGTCACCATTAGTATTTCCCATATTATCCCCCCCTTTTTTTGACAATGTATATATATATATATATATATATATATATATATATACACACACACACATAACCAAGAATGGGGTGAGAATGAAGGAAAAACATGTCTTTTGGGTTATTATTGAATATATTCGAAATTATAAGGTCCAATAAGGAAGTTTTCGGCCCATTGAACCCTTCTTATGGGTTTACGGCCCAAAGGTGATGAAGGAATGGGGTTTACGGCCCAAAAATGTTCAAGAGTGTTGTTTACGACCCATAAAGGCCCATGAGAATGAATATGGGTCTATTTAAGGCCCAAATAGGGTTCCTTGACCCAAAATAACCAAATTGAGAGTTTACTAGCCCATTAGGCCCAACAAGAGGATCCTGGTCCATTGTGAGTTTGAACTGGGATATTAGGGCTTTCAAATCCATAGTTGAGTAGGTGAGATGTATTGAATTAGGGTTTTGAACTTCACTCATGAGTTTTGATTCAAATGGTTGATTTGGAATGAGCATAGTACATGACATCAATTTAGATTACAAGTTATTCAAGAGTTGATTTTTCATGAAGACATAATTTCTTAGCTAAAATGCTAGTTGTGACATCATCCCCCCGTTAGAGGGAATTTCGTCCCTAAATTCTTTTGAAAGATAGAACTACGGACGAGCGAATAGATGAGGGTACTTCTGCTTTATCTGGTCCTCACGTTCCCATGTGAATTCCGGTCCACGCTTAGCGTTCCATCGAACCTTCACAATCGGAATGCGACTCTGTTTCGTGCGCTTCACTTCCCTATCCATTATCTCAACTGGTTCTTCGACGAACAGGAGATTCTCGTTTATTTCGATCTCTTCCAGAGGAATGATAAGGGTTTCATCTGATAGGCACTTTTTCAGGTTCGAGACGTGGAACACAGGGTGTACGTTGCTGAGCTCCGTAGGTAACTGCAACTTACATGCCACCGGACCAATTCGGGCAAGAATCTCGAATGGCCAGATGTATCGTGGTTTTAGCTTGCCCCGCTTTCCAACTTGGATCTTCCTTTTCTAGGGAGAGTCCTTCAATAGCACCCGCTCTCCGACTTGACACTCCAGAGGCTTTTACCGTTTATCAGCATCGTTCTTTTGTCGGTCTCGCGATGCTTGGGGTCGTGCCTTGATTTGAACTATTTTCTCCGTCGTTTCCCGAATGATATCGGGGTCTGTAAGACTGTTGTTCGATGCTTGTCCTCTTGCTAGTTGGGTGTTGGTCATCTCAGCCCAACACAGAGGTATTTCTGCCTTCACGTCCTCTATGGTGAGGTGGATTGATGGTCATGGTTAATGAGGATCGTGTACTAGACATCCCAACATTAGTACCTCCAAACCCTAAGGTGAACACTGTTGGGTTTTGTATACTACAACATCCTATGGTGCACATACAACCCTAAAAGCTTTGGATCTATTTTTTCTCTAATTATACATGCATATGGTTTCCAAAGCTTTAAGCCTACAACTAGCATACAAATAACATATCTATAATAAGACAAGTTTTAGACATACCTATTGATGTTGTTGATGTTGCTAGGAAGACTTTGGCCTTTAAGAACTTAGTGCCCCAAGTGTTGCACCTCAAATGGAATCACAACTCACCTAGGACAAAGGTGACTCTTGAGAGAGAATTTCCATGCACCAAAAAACACCTCCATGAACTCCAAGAACTAGAAGTATGCGTTTTTAGGTTATGGAGCTTATATTTATATGTAGGATTCCAAGAGTCATGGGTATAACCCAAATCCATACCCATGGGTTTTATGATCCATGGTTCATGTGGCCCAACTCTTTGTGTATCCATACATAAACTTAGTCCAATATGGATCATAAGCCCAACACATATAAATATAACCAATTACCATAATTAGTCCCCATAGATTTAATTAGTCTCTTTTGATCACTAAATTAATTCCAAATTAATTCTTGATCAATACTAATTAAATCATATGATTTAATATTAATATATTAGAACTTATAATATATTAATAAATCATATATAACCTCTTCTCAAAAGTCCATCCTAACAAATTGTCCTGATGTTATGCAACCCAAATGGACCATGCTACTCTCGGGTCGAGTACATACCAATAATAGTTATGGGCTTAGACATCTAATCCAACAGTCTCCCACTTGGATAAGTCTAACACTATTATTGCAAATATGACTCCAAAATCCCGACTAGTAATCGTAGCTCTTAAAAGCCACTATCGAACTCTTACCTAGTCAATGACGTGTCCATTAGATAAGGGATCATATATTCCTCCATTCTAGATATCATATGGACTGAGACATGTATTATAATCATTCTCTCTGTCCATCTGTTGTTTCCCGATTTCTGATTTATGACGACCGACTAATTGAACAAATCAAATTAGTCCAAGCCCGGTCGAGCACTTATGTTTGTCATCACTAAATCATCGAGGGGCCCACAGATATCACTTTTATCCACATGGGGTAAAAGGAACAGATAAACTTCGGCCCAAATGCTCGCTTGTACTGACTCATCAAATTACACACAACGATATGTTTTATAACATCCAAGTTACTGGTGCGTTTACATATGTCAATGTGCAACCGACTCGCGACTACAACTCACACGTCTCCGTTTGAAGAATATAAGATATTATTGTCTCATGATCATTCGTGATAAAATCCATGAAGTGATTCAAATGAGCGTGGGTTTAATCCAATACTCGAATCTTATTCCAGGAGCATTCATGAATACTACAACTATGTCTAGGCCACCTAGACAAACTACAGACTCATTCATGACAGTCTTGCCTCAATACCTACTTCCAAAGTATGATCGACTGTGGACGGTTTGAATAATCTAGTTATTCGGGAAGTCAAAAAATGCAAAGTGAAACACAAGAATAATACTAATCCTATATTGCCCAAAAACGTTTGAGTCATATTTATTACTCATTATTCATTGTATAATGTTTCGAATAATCAACTTAATACTTGAATTAAAGCAATAGTTGTCTCATGCTACAAGCATGCACACTATGTTTACTTATGGTCCTTTCTCTGTGGAATAGATCAGTTGAAAACATTTCAATGATACTCATTTCGCAACTCTAAATCCTTATCGCAAATGTAAGAATACAAGATTCTTTGCCATTTACTGAAATCTGTTAGATTCTAAACTTATATGCATTGATCCTTTTGTAATGACTATGCACAAAAGTCACAAAGACTCGACAACAGACATTACAAAGTATTCCAATGGAAAGCAATTCCATGGAAACGAAGTCTCACATTCAAAGTACATTCCTTTGAACATCCTTCTTGCATTAAGTTTTCAAATCTTACACAGATTTAAAGAATAACTTCCACATATGGAAACATTTCCATATTCCCATTTTGACTATCACTTCTGAACAAGAGTTGCCTCTTTTCAGAATATGTCAATATGGTCCTTCCATAATTAACACTATACTTCCAATTGTCCATGAGTAACCAATCTTTGGTAAGCCTCAGATTGTCC